GCAGCTCTGCCCTGCAGACAGCGGCACCGCAAGGAGAAGGATTAAACCACCTCGGGGACACGTGCCTTCTGTTCTGCCCAGAGCTCGAACATCATTTATTGTTGGGTTGGATGGTTTCCATCTGGTTTCTCGGCATGGAAAGCAGCAGCATCTCCAACATGCCCCAAAACGCTCATTCAGCGGCAATGGAGAGATGGATGCCCCAAGACAGGCAACCCCAATGCTCATCCCCAACATCACCACACCGCTGCGGCCATCGTGACTCACTTGACTCGTCCACCCTTCTCCTCTGACGGGCTGGAGTTGGTCAGGTTTGGCTCATTTGGGGGCTGCTCCTCCTTTACAGATTTCTTATGAGCTTTGGTCTGGCTTTGTCGTCGCTGCAGCTCAGAGTCACTGGGGGAGAAGACAGACATGGGATAGGCAAGGTGGTTTAGATGGTTGGATGTGGCAGGACATTGGTTGGATAAGGTTGGAAATGGTAGGACATTGGTTGGATGCAGATGGACGTGGTTGGACTTGGTCGGACATGGCAAAGACCCAGGCAGAGATACAGTGAAAGAAGGTGCCTCCCCAAAAGGCTGTGCCCTTTTGAGCTCAGAAGCACCTTATTTAGGTGATATGAGGACGTTATTCCCATTTCCTCCCATCTCCGCTAGGGTCAGGTGTAGCAAGACAAGAAGGTGGTAGAGATGTAAGGTCTGAAACCCTTCCAGTGCGATACCCATCTAGACTGGGACAGCATGACTGGGAGCCTGTGGACTGGCTCTCATGTGGTCCCAGTCTGTGGGCTCCTTCCCAGCAGCTCTAAATGCTCCTCACCTGTCCAGAGATGGGTGGTAATTCTCATCACGCAGATCATCGGTGTAGGCGAGGTCATCATCCTCAGCAAAGTCCTCATCCTCCTCTTCCTCCTCTTCTTCTTGGTGCTCAGCCCCCTGCTCCGCCTTCTCCTCCGGGATAAGTGCACTGCAGGAATGCAACAATCAAAGTCAACTCTGCCAGAATGGGTTTTAATCATGGAAGGTCTTTGTTAAAACATTGGCTGCCCATTGGAGAACACAAGGGATGAGATGGATGGGTCCAAACTTGACCTTCAGCTCCAGAGAGCCCAGTTATACACTGGGGGAAGACTCATGCATGCCACCACTCACCTCCCATGATCTTTTGCCACAGTCCCCGTCTCCGTTGGCACCTGGGGAGCTGCAAGGAGATGACAGGAGTTGCGGTAAGCTGAAGCAGGGCTGGTTGAGCTGGGATGTTGGGAGAGGCAGAGGAGGGAGGAGGAGGATGGGGAGTGGATCTAGCAGCAGAGTTGGGAAACCTTCAGGTGTTGGAAAGGACCTGCATGGTGCCATCCCACTGACCAGAAGAAATGAGGGCCAAGTTACTTCAAAATACTCTACTGGAAGAAGCTCAACCTCTTCTCAAGTAGCTACTACAAGGCGCTGTATGGAAAAAAAAGGAGATTTTTCTCCCTGGTTTTCAGTCTGGGTAAACGACAGGAGCTGTGGCTCTTGGAAACTGCTGAGAGCTGCATCTGCATGGGCTCAGCAAGGTCTTCTGCTCAATGCCTGTAATGAACCCGAGGCCCTCCAGCTCTGCTTTTCCAAGGGAAAGGAAGGAGAGAGAAGATACTTCTTCTGTGGTAGGAACAAGCCCAGTAGGAGACTCCTCTATCTGTTTTTCCAGTAAAGGCCCAGAGATTTGTTTTACATGATGGTGCTGTCAAATCTGGAGCAAGAGGGAAGCAGTGGGGTTGGGGCAACATCTGATCCCAGTGGGAAGGTGGATGATATGCCCCTGGCACTGGGAGAAGGGCTGAAGATGGGGAATCGAGAAGCCAATGGAGAAATGAGGGTGGAGAAGGGGACACAGAGGAGCTCACCTGCGTTGCCATCATCACTGTCATCACAGCGAGCTCCTGGCTCTTCCGTCCGGTCACCATCACCGATGGGCAATTGAGCTGCTCCCCCTGGTTCAGCTTCGCCCTTCCCAGAGCTGGACTCAGCAGCCAGCCCTGCTTGCCGGAGCGAGCGCCGGCGGCCGGTGGCCAGTGGGGAGCTGCACCCCGAGTCCTCCTGTTGTTCCTCTCCATGGTGGCCAGTTGTGGGGGTATGGTCCCCTGCCGCCCCAGGGACACCCCAGGAGAAGCTGTGCCCAGCCACGCACTCCCACACCAGCTGGGACGTGCTGCCTGGGGCTGGGGGCTTCACGTCAGGGACGAAACCGCACTCTTGGCCATGACCGTGGGACAGGACGACCAGGCGCTGCAGGGCATCGGCATGGAGAAGGTTGGGCTCCGGCTCGCCTGGTGAAGGTACAAAAACCAGACAAATTGGTGAGAACTGGCTCCAAACTTCAGCTTTTTGGTTGTTCTCCATCGTGTAAAACCAGCATAGGGCGGGTGGGATGTCTGCAAGGGTTTCCCTTCACATTTCCTACCATCTCATGCACGCTCTGATGTTTCCACCGTATTAAGAGCTCCTCTTTTTTAGCAACCCCCAAAAACTCAGACAGCTCCCCCCCCAAAAAAAGAGCTGGGGATGCCAACAACCCCAACGCAGCCAAACCCAGGGAGCAATTTAGGCGGGTGAGCATCTCCAGGTGCATCTCCAGCACCCAAGCGCTCAATGCAACAGGAATCTTCTCTCTTCACTGTAAACCTCTTTTGCACCCAAAATAATCAATGCCAACATGGATTTGGGGTGGGAGGCACCAACCTGGGCTCCAGATGCAGCCGTGGGAGCTGTACCTGTGGTGGGAAGAGGGAGAGTGAGCAAGCTTAAACCATTCATTTCCCCATCCCAAGGGTTTTTAAGGGTTTTTTAAGAGTTTTGCAGCACACGCCACCCCCTCACTGACCTGTCGAGGAGGAACTGGGCCAACTGGGAGTGCAGGGCGAAGCCGAGCTGCTCCTTGAGGCGACACCAGCGCTCCAGGTGCCCCCCGATGCGGATGCGGCACTTGCTGCGGCGGGCATCCAGCTCCCGTCGCTTCTGTCGTCGGATGCAATCGGGGGCCCGCTGCCGGCCCGGGCGGCCCGGCTCCATGGGGGGGGTCTG